AAAAGGAACAATAAACGCTCAACTACCTCTGTGAAGACATGTTCAACTTTAGTGTTATACCTAATTTATATAGGGTTATCAGCCATGTTTTTTTTTTCAGCGTAGCGTAGAAAATGTCTGCATTTTCTTTTACAGCGCCGCATTATCAGGACAGCGTTGTCAACACTTCGGGCTCTAGAATTGCATAATATGCATTTTATAAATAAAGCAACACACTGCTTGACACTTACGGGTTGACGTTGTGCCTCAAAAAGCTATAATCTATAATCTATAATGTAATGCCCCTTCTGTTAGGGACCCTTGAGGAAAATAAAATAAATAAATAAATTCTGATGTAAAATGTTCACAAGTATCAACAAAGCCACAAAATCAATATGGGTGGGCTTCGCCGTGTGGCTGCATCGTTGAACAGACACCAACAGAAAGACCAAGATTTTCGCGTTTAAATACGAGAACTAAAGTGAAAAGTGAAAGCTCTGGAAGTGCGTAGCGCGGCCACCCGCATCGATTAACGTGGTAACGGTATTATTATGTTGCTGTTGCTGCTGCTGCTATGATTTCTGTTATTACAATGTGGGAAGTGTTGCATCGTGTAGTTTTAACGGCATGCGGTGTGCGGTAACATATAATGACGATTAGATGCTGTTATACTGTGATTGGATTTTCGAGCACGGAAGAGGTGGTTAAGTTATTTTGGTGCTGTTTACGATTCGCGACAGCTGCCTCCTCACGCACAATGGTTAGATTAGTCACGCAAAGTTGACTGGATAGCGTTAACTAGCCAACACTACCAAGTATAGGCACAATACCATCAGCAGGACCTATACCGATTAGCCCAATTTTTCGCGCCGCTAGCGCTTGCTTTCCGTGGAGTCAATACACTTGTTGGCTAGCTGCTTGAACATCTTGTAGGGACGCAGTGCAAAAAACCGAGACATAAAGGCACACACAAGATTGCACTATCAAACGACAGATGTGTAAGCACTCCTTCTGTTTTATTACCGAACAAGTATGTTGCGTACCTTCTGCTATTACACCAGTTACCCTTTATCGCCGTGTGCTCAAAGCTTGTTGCGTTGTTGTCCAATTGTATGTTTTGCTTCGTTTTTTTCTATTCTTGATTATACATAAACGAGGGCTGTTGCGCAGATGAACACGTATTTACGTTCGTCGACGCAATAAACACCTATTGCCGACAGCGCTACACTGTAAGCAAAATTTAGCCGAGATGGGAGTTTCTCCAGCACAAGAGCCCACAAAACTCCCCTGCCCCAATTATTTACTCCCTCGTAGGGAGTGAACTCGCCACCTGTCATCGTAAAACGCCCCTTGCTTACTCACACAGTTTATGAACGAGATGACGTTGTTAAATCCCCAAGAAGTTTCAGGTCACGTGCTTACAAACTCCCTAGGTGTGGCAACTTGGGCTAGTTGGTTATGGCATGACGATAATTATATCGCGAGAAAAAACGACGACACAGAGACAAGAACGTGTCTTCGTGTCCTTCTTGTCTCTGTGTCGTCGTTTTGTTCTCGCCCTAGAACTATCGTCCCTATAGGAGCTTTAAAACCCTCTTTGGGCATGACGTGTGTGTGTGGTATGTGTGTGTGTGTGTGTGTGTGTGTGTGGTGGTTGTGTGGTGGTGTGTGTGTGTGTGTGTGTGTGGTGTGTGTGTGTGTGTGTGTGTGGTGTACGGCATATGTTTGCACGTCGGTGTGAAACACATGTGCTTTGTGTGGCTAACCGTGGTAAGCATCTGTCAACAGGAAACGAAATTATAAGTGCAGCGAAGAATAGCACGACCGGTTGGTATTTACTGCGAACATTTCAATATATTCGCACCGTTAAACACGCTGCACCTCGGTCCGATTCCTCAACGAAACGCCGTGAATGCCGCGCTTCAAAGGCCGAGTAACAAAAAACTTCGAAGAATAAATTAGTGGTAGCAAAAGTAAGCTGTTACGATCGTAAACGGCTTCTTCTGGAGTTTCATCGCCAAAACTTTGAAGCGGTCTGAAGTAGGCTTCGCTCGACTACGGCAGGCTGGCCGGCAACCGGTGTGAGAGTTGCGCCGGCGACGCGCTTGCCCCGTCTCCGCCGATGGCGAGTTCTCGGAGTGTCACCTGTATTTCAGCGGCTGCAACATCTAAGCGGTAGAAGGCCTCGCTATGGCGTCGGTGTCAAGCCTGCATCGTATTGAGTTCGCACTGTGCACCGGTCGCCGTGGGCGAGCTCTGCGAGCTATACATGCAATGCATGCGAGCAACGGGAACAGCCACTGCGAACCGTCTCATTCGTTTAAGTCTATCGCTCCGTAGCTTAAACTGCGGGGATAGCGGACACCGATTTCTGTGCATGAGAAGAATAACGAGACGTAAACTGCACATTCAGCAAGCATTTTGTGATCGCCAGCTCTCATTCATGAATCACCGTGCCGTACTCGTGAGTGAGGCCTAGTTGTCGAACGCAGTAGTGGTGGTCTACCTCGGTTCATCGCTGGATCTGCTAAATGTGCCTCGTTAATGAGTTCATTCAAGGCCGTGCGCACTTTGTGTATGATTTAGTGCCTTTTACGGGTCCCAAACAGTACTGCTAATGCAAATTCAGCCCGTACGACAGACCGTCAACTGATAAACTTTTTCGCTATAGTAAAAAACTATTGAATATTAGGCAAGCTTAGGAAAAAAGGCATGTGTGCTGAAGTGCTTACATTAGACCACCGCAAGTTCGTACTTACGCCGTGCGTATTTATTGCTTAATAATTAGCGAAAAAAGGGTTTCACTAGGACTACATGGGAGGTAAGAATTGGTGCCTATATATACCCGGTGACTATATGGTAGTTGTGTACTGCGTGTGGCAAGCTGTGGTGAGTGCGAGTGTTGTGATATTACGTGAACGTTGTGATAATGTTTGTGTACTGTAGTTCATTGTTGTGCTCATTAAATGTAATGTAATTAAACTTACACTTGCGCATGTACGGCTGCTGACGTAATTTTTCTCGGTCAATGCAAAAAAGTTACTCCCATACTGACCTGAAAAAGTTCTCCAATGGATGTAAATAAAACCCCCCCTGGCACCATTGCGAAAACCCCCTACTGATGGGGAGTAAATTTTAGCTCCCTCGGACGGTGTTTATAAACTCCCATCGCGGCGTGCGCTGGAGGACAAGGTCATTTACTCCCATCTCGGCTTATTTCTGTTTACAGTGTAAAGTTGTGTCCTTTCGCATTGTTTCCCTACGTATTGCGTTGAGTTTAGGATTGACTTGATTATGCTAACACAGTCACAGTGGTCTGAGCTTTAACGATGTTGGGCTTCTGTTTTCGCCGCCTACATTTTACACCTGCTCACTGAGTCATCACTTGGCGAGGCGCAGGCTGGTTTGTGTTTCTCGGCTCTTTTCACCTGTGCAGCAGCGGCTGTTCGCTGAGACTTGAGCTCAAAATTCTTGTGGCAGCGACCAAGGTTTCCACTCACTTTTCAGCCAATGTCGTGTAATCGCGGAAAAGAAGTCGCCAAAACCGGGCATTCTTCTTTACATGTCACTATGAAAAAGGGCCGCTCATGTGAGGGGTATGCATAGTAATAAGAATGGGTAATTATTACCCTGTGGAATACAATACCATGTGCACCCTTAACTACTTAGATATATGGACGTTTTTTTTTTGCCCAGTTGAAAAGCACATATTTATGTGAGAGTGTGTGGCGAATCTGGTTTTTCGACGATCCCTGAGAGGGGATGGTGGCGCATTGCAAAGAATACTTCCCGTTATGAATGGAACGCTCGTGACATCCTTGCATTGCAGTGTGCATGTTTCAATGGCGAAATTGTGGTAATATCCTTGCATCGCAGTCTCCGCGTTTCAAAGGCAAAACAGTAATGAAGTTTGGGTCGAAATCGTGAGAGTGTTTTTTGTAGGCAGCTCGATGCCCCCACACGTGCAATAAACAGTTCATTGGAAATAGCACGACCACAGTCTTAAAGAAATCAATCATGTGCGATTTTTATCCATCTTGAAAAGTAGCTAGCGTGACACAGCGCCAAAGATAATTCACCGTAACTTGCAGTTCATTTCCAAGTTTCCCAGTTTTCCAGTTTACCAGTTTTTATACCCAACCAGACAAATATCTGTCGAATGTTAACATTCAGGTCCCGTCACAATTTTGCGAAGCTCCAGTTTAGTATAGGCGCCTCCTACCGAAAGCTTGGAGTGGAATCAGTTTGAGTTCAGTTGCGTAGCTTTAGAGTGGCACAACGAGCCCGTGCACCACCCTCCCCCCTCTCCCATTTTTTTATTTTTTGCCATTACATACTGAGCAAGGAGTGACACCCGACCACCTCAAGACGGCCCAAGCTACAAGATATAAGAACACGAAAACAAATGAAGACAAAGCAAGCACTTTTAGCGGTAGAATATGGGTTCTAAAGGCTGTGTTTCTACAAGGATTAATAAGAATACTTGCTTAAAACAGGTGGAAGGACTACGGGCACAACAGCTGGTTTCTACAACGCTCTGTGAACAACGAGGAATACATATTTTTATAATGAAGCTAATTGACTCACGGGTATACAAAATACGGCCAACAAATGCGGAACTATTGTTATGCGACAGCGTTAGCTTTTTCAGGACAGGCAAAATGCTCACTAAATAAAACAAATATTTCTAGGTAAATGCCGGCCACGCTTTTTTCATCATTAAAACGAGTCGACTCGATGTCATCAACAAGTGTTGTTACATGCAGAAAACATGGCCGAAAGTGGAAGCTTGTTTTGCCTTTTTTAAAGTTATTGGTTTCACTAGATGCTCATGGCCTACCTGGAGCCGGGGTACCTGTCGTCGTCGATTTTGACTTGGTGCTCAGTGCTCTAGTGGTGGCCCGAGTTCTGGTGGTAGTCGAGGTCATCGTCGATTTAACTTGGTGCTCTGGGCCCTAGTGGTGGCCCGAGTTCTGGTGGTAGTCGAGGTCGTCGTCGATTTTGACCTGGTGCTCAGGGCCCTAGTGGTGGCCCGAGTTCTGGTGGTAGTCGATGTCCTCGTAGTCGGCAGTGTTGTGGTGGCCGTACGGGTAGTTGTGGTCGCACGAGTTGTTGTGGTCGGACGGGTAGTTGTGGTCGCACGGGTTGTTGTGGTCGCCATTGTAGTTGTCCTCGGTGTAGTTCTGGTAGTGAACGTAGTTGTGGTAGAAGGAGTACTTGGGGTCTTCGGGGTACGTGTTGTCCTCGAGGTCCTCGTTGTCCTCAGTGTACTCGTGGTCGACCGTTGTACTAGTTCTCCGGGTAGTCGTCGTCACCGGGGTTATGGTGGTTCTGCGGGTACTTGTGGTCTCTGGTGTTGTTGTGGTCGCAGGAGTAGTAGTGACTGGCGGAAGCGTCGATGTGGGTTTAAGGACTGCCGTAGTCACCACGAGTTTCTTACTCGTGGGCGATTTCTTGGTAGAATCCACGGGGGTTTTCTCGGTTTCGGTTGTCGTTACCGTGTCTTCATTCCCACCACTTATTTCGAGATTTTCGTCTAGCACTGTCGTTTCATGATCATCTGAATACAAATACAAACGAGGGTGACAATGCTTATTGAGGAAACTCTATACGAAGAAAAATATTCATGAAAATATATTATTTTGAAGTTATCAGGCAAGCCGAAGATGCTAGTAGGGCCCAAGGATTCTTAGCTGCCATCTGGGGGAGAGAATATAATTCCTGTAAAACTTGCCATATCAAATAAAGTTTTTTTTTTCTCTCTCTCTCCCTCTCTGTCTATTCAAGATATGTTGCCTTGGTGGTGGCGTCAGCACTCTAATTTGCTTTCAGGAGCATCGTACACGCTAAGCCAAAAATGGCCGAAATGGGAGCAATGGCTGTTTTTACTTCTTCAGACCGACTGTTACTCTCCTAAAAGACCAAGCGGAACAAGATGGCCGGCTTGTTCGAGAGTGGGGGAGCAACTGTATTCATCCTAAGTTTGTTAGGGAGTAACGGAACGAGGAACCGCTGTAAATGCTCTCGTCACGCAACGGTTACTCCCCGGCAGGACACCGCACACAAATATGCATGCCGCCCTCATTAATATTCATGGGCCAGATTATTGTTTGTTCTGTGTGCCAAACTTCACCAAACCAAAACAGTGATTTATTTTAGCATCCGCAGATAATAAGATAGCAGCGCTGGCTGAACACAGAAGGCCTGAGAATACAGCTACGGCAAGTACCTAACACACGCAGCAGCAGAATGGAGAGTTGGCACGTCAAAGCGGACCGAACGCCGAAACGCGTGCAAAACAACGATAAAAAAAAGCCTAGACACGCCATTCGTCCGCGAAGGAAGGACGTCCAAGTCGATCGAGCGCCGAAACACGTGCATAAGGAGCCCCCCCCCCCCCCCCAGATATATCGGTGAAGAAAAAAAAAAGCGGACCCAGACGCGCTTTTCATCAGCCGTACACTTAGTAGCATGCTTCACCGCGTAGTTTGAGGGCAGAATGACAAATCTGCGCCATCTGCGCCGGCACAAGTGTGGCGCTAGTGTAGTAAGCGATGTAATTTACAAAGTAACTTTTATTCAGTGTTTTTGTTTACTAGCATTAAATAAAAATTACACTCAATTTTTATATTTAGTTATGAGTTTTAGTGTACCTCAGTTTTTTTTAAGTGTATCAGGAGAACACACTGAAAGCATTGCGCTGACGCCTGGGCTGCCACTGCTCGACGTTTTTTTTTTTCGGTGCCACTAGGTTCGCGTTCGCACTACTCATATTCATATGGTCTGTGGTCGGCGAGTACATGGACATGTGAGCTTGTGAGCTATGTTTTGATCGTGTGTGTGTGTCGCAGATTTGCGTTTCTACTTATTCGTGATGAAGGTTATTGTATATGTACCTTTATGGAGTGCGAAGTTGTGGATTTTGCTGCTGGGTAGAACAAACACATTGCAAACACGTCTTCAGCTATCTGCAAGCCTGTTCGCTCGTCGGACTGTGTATGCATCAGCGTGCAGGTGAGTGTCATTTCCAGCAACATTTAATGCTCTTACAATACATTGTTGAGTGGTTGCGCGATTAAGAGAGAAATGATTTGCTCGTTCTTATTTACCGTATCCATTGCTAGCCGTATCGGACTAAATTACCTCTATTATTACCGCCTGCATACCCTCTTGCTTCCCCTGTCACCACTGCAGTGCCAGTGTACTTTTGCAGTTGAAAGTTCATTTCCGCAACACTACCTCGCTTGAAAAAACATTGGGGCGGGGTTGTAGCTGCCTTCATACTGGCACTTTTCTACCATTGGCTTTGTGTAACGTTAACAGCTGAGTGTTGGGGCCTTGGGCCGCATTTTTTAGAGCTGTAAAGTGTATGTAAATCAGTAAGTGAACAAATAATTGTCGCATCACTTCACTGGCATAGCCAGGTGGTTGCGCACAGATTTCTTTTAGGCTGGGCGTAGGGAGCCCATAATGACGACCATATTCGCTTGCCCGGCCTCTAATTCAGATAAGCGGACCCCCCCCCCCCCCCTCCGCACACGCCTCAAAAAAAAAAAAAAAAAAATCTGCCCACATCACTGCGTCACTTGCTTCACCTCTGCGCTGAACGTACTATTTTATAAGCGCATCATCCAGCGAGCAATTTACATAGGAACAGAACAATTGGAGGAGTAATGACCCAAATCTTGCAGATTTTTTTTAGTCATGCAAAACCTTCGCAAAACTGAATATTTAAAAGACAATCATTAATGCTGTACGTTCTCGTTAGCATTGTCATTATTCGGCATCATGAAATCTTTATGCGCTGTGAAAAGTTGGCATGCCGTTGAAGTCACATATCGACGTTAATACCAATCGACGAAAATTTCGACAACCTCAATAACGCCGTTGGGATTTGCCGCATGCACATAATTAGGCTGATTTCCACTTGGCTGTTCTTAACCTGACTTCACTGCTACCAAATGTAACAATATTTGTTGCATGTCTTTTACTACTTTTTTTCAGGGATATGACACAAATTTGGTTATACTACAGATAAATATGCTCCCAACGGTGCTAAGGTACAGAAAGCAAGTGAATTTTGGTAAGTGCTGACTTTTTGTACTACGTATATGAAAGCATCACTTTTTAGGGGCAAACTGTGCATGTGTTGGCCAGAGAATAGTATATCATGTCACATGGTTACACTGGCACTGACAATTTGACATGGCTCCGCTGGCCCGTGTGTGTGCTCACACTGTTATTGTTAAGATAAATTGTTTATGTTTTCATTGCATGGATTGCTGTTTGTACTAGAAAGCCAACTGCCAAGATTTGTTTAGGCTGGTGCTCCTAAAAGTACGCTTTCCCTATTTACATAGATTTTGGCTTGCACAAAGCCTAACACTTGGGCCTAGATTCACAAAGCTGTCCAATGTGCAGGCCTTCGTAACAGCGTTTCCTGACTTGCCTTTATCCTGTTTTCTGCAGATGTTTCATGGATTAAAAGTGCCACAGCATGTTGACCTCCCCACTCTAAAAAATTCGTGTTCAAAGTGCTGCAAGAGTGAGCTTAACTTTCTTGTGCACCTCCTTGCTGTTCGAAGATCCTGAAGTGTTATGCTCTTACTAGAGGTGGCCGTGTTTCTACTGTTTGTATTTCCATCACATTGACCAAGTAGGCGATCAAGTGACATGTAGCACATCCTCAACAAATGTCGTTGTGGCACATGTAAAAGGCAGTACAAAATAAATAGGCAGACATTCACACCTGAAGCTAACTTTAATAATGCTTTTTTTGGAAACCACGGTGCGCTTATTTCAATTTGTCTAACAGAGTAGTAACCTGTTTGACTGTGAACCAACAAGACGTTGAACTAATAAAGGCTTCACGTCTTGTTGCTCTCAGATATATATGTATTGGAAAGCTATCTGTGACACTGTCAAACAAAGAATCAGAATATCTGTGCATGCCTTAAGATATATTGCTTCGTTCACATACCTCGTGGCTGTGACTCGTCAGCCGAGTGAACAAATGCACCCTAGTTTACTAAATTTAGAGCATCTTTTTAAGGTAGCACGGTCTACATTTATTTGTCTGTAGTTTTGTCCAGCCGTTTGCATCAGGTGCAAAGAAATATACTGAAGATTATCATGTAGCCTCTGCAAATGGTTGCTTTCAAGCAGGCTTTGCATGCTTGGCTTGTGCCTACAGGTATTGCACAATTCAAGACGCAGCAGCGTATGATAGAACAGTAGAATGGAGAGCAACTATGTGCACGAGCTCAATAAGTATTTTAACATGAGCGGGACGGTACGTGTTATTTGCAACACACACTTAGAATCTCACTTATAATGCCCATTGGTGAATGGGCTCATAGAAATGTCACTCAGCTGTGTATAGGAAACAAGTTAACTGAACCTCAGGGTATCTTTAACTGCTACAAATATGCCTTGTTGAGGTGCTGCACATATTTTCCACAATATTGCTGTCTGATACATCATGTGAAAAGCGTCTACGACATCAGCATTTATATGGCTTGCCAAGTAACGTTTGGCCAAACCTTTCTTTTTTTTCACATTTCGTTTTGCAGTAGACATCCTAGAATGTAAGCGCTGCTGCAGTGTGTGTGACTCATTATGTGTTGATTCTGGCATGTTTAACCTCACACTTCTATTTTTTTATTGCAGCAATGAGATGCTTCACATATGCCTGTGGTGACATTTCACTGCGCAAGCCTGATGGAAACACCAGCTGCGAAACTTGAGTCCTTCAGCCATTGGAGAAGTTGCCCTTCTCTTACCAATGATGACACAGACTGCCCTATGCTAGACATTCAAGATTGTTTTTCCACGGATGACACAGAAAACCTTTGATGTATTGTGGTGCTTGTTTAGTGCTGGTTGTGGTGTGGCGAAGTCTACTTTTATGTGTGCTCACATGTCGCCTCATAAAAAGAACAATAAAGCATTTATTTTCTTTTCAATATCGTCCACTTTTTGTGTTAGAAGCACCCAAGCAGTGCTCTTCCAAGGTGCTCTCACCATGTGTTAAACGTGTGACAAGCATACTCGAGACAAATAGTCATTTCCCCAAGGAGTAACTGGAAGCATGTGCAGTTGGTTTTCAGAGAGTAACTGCGAACACTTGGGAGGAACGGTAAAGAGTAACTGTTGCTCTTAGAAGAGCAACTGGTTGGAGTAACTGTTCGTCCGCAGAGAGGAACTGGAGGGAGTAACTGTTCATTCCCCGAAAGAGGAACTGAAAGGAGAGCAACGGTTCGTTCCTCTGCAGTTACTCCTTTTAGGGGAGTAATGGGAGTGGCAATGCAACTGCTCCCTGAAAGGAGCAACCCCTTTACCCCTTTTGCTCCCTTTTGGCTTACAGTGTATTATGCTCGTATTGACCTCATGCCGGAATTGTAGAAGTACTTATGGTGGGGGGGGGGGTTCAATTGCTTAGATTGATGGTCATTATCTCTTTAAATACATGCAGCACCTTAGTGTCATCCGCGCAACGTAAGCGAAATTACGCATTGATAATTGCTATTCAGAAAACGTTATTTTACACGAAAGTGTTTTTAACAAGAGCTTCATTTGGGTGAGTAGGTTCATTGTGGTTGTATTTTAATAACAGCGCAACAACTAGAAGAGGGGACAAAATTGATTGGGAAGAGCGCTGACTGTCAACGTTATCCTATTGAAGTTCTTGCGAACACTTTCATACAGAGGGCAAGAACAGTGCTCATGTGCGATGACACAAGTGGGACCATGAAACAATAATCTTAACTGAGAAAAGAATGCTCTCTCGTGCAAATTAGAAGTAATGGTGTATCTATGCATTATTCCACGGCCTTCCTAATGAAAAAATGCTTCTGAAATCTCTATTTCATTTTTTGCTCTCATTTTGTTTTCAAAAATTGTCTTTTAAAAAAATTAACCATCAAAAAAATGCAGTTGACAATCAGCGCACTTTTCCGTCTATTCTGTCTCTTCCTACAGCTGTCGGATAGTTACTACAATACAACGACGACAATGTTTTAAGCCGGGGTCTACCAAGACTGCCGTGACGTATATCCGTCACGGAAAGGTCGTTAAAAAACACGAACGATCAGAAGACAAAACGTTTCGTTAGTGGGAGTTGTACACATGATCTCGGGATTAGTGACAACTGCTGCCGGGCACGTTCTCCATTGCGTCGTATAAACATGGTGTGCAAGTCTGGAAAATACGCCTTTTCTATCTACCAGTGTTCCCTCGCATCATTCTTGGTTAAGTGGGAAAACGCATCATTACTGTGGCACCCGTAATTAGTTACTTCACCACATCGTTCCTAAGCGTCTGTCCCGATCGCGGTGTATACAATAGAAGTATAATTTTGTCAATGGCTTAACACACCCAAGATGGCGACTTATCAGAAGCGTCGGCATAGCTCATAGCATCCACTCATCCAAAAAAGACAGCGGAACGCCCACCCACGTCGCCTCCCTTGAACTTCACGTTCCCCACTTATGCTCGCCCCGCGAACAATCGTGTCCGGCCAAAGAGAAGACGAGACACATGTAGTGTTTCCTTCTGGCCTGGTGGCGTAGTTCAAGAACATCAACATGCCGCGAGTAAGTGACCTTATACCTAGTTGGACATTGAATGAGTCATGCTGTTCTCGCTTTCAATTCACTTTTTCTGGTTCCACTCCCACTGATAACTATTACAGACACCACAAAAATCTATGAGAAGAAGGGTTCGTCTGAACATTAATGATGAACGTTAGTTGTCAGCATAGAGATGTATGGTTAAGCGTTAACGGGAATGCATTCACGGTAAGCGGTG